TTTTGTTTTGTTTTTTTGGGGTCCGGTCGTGAGGCCTGAACTCTGGGCCTGGGTGCTGTCCCTCAGCTCTTCAGCTCAAGGATAGCACACTACCACTTGAGCCACAGCGCCTCTTCCGGCTTTTTATCTTATGTGGTGCTAGGGAATCGAACCCAGGGCCTCATGCATGCAAGGCAAGCGCTCTACCACTGAGCCACCTTCCCAGCCCAGGTTTAAAACTTTTAAAGCTAAGACCTGATCTGGATGTCTTCATAATGCTTTGTTTTGAAAGCATACAACCATTATCTCTATTTACCAGATTTTTACATGCTAGAAGGGAACCTATGCAGGGTGCCCGAGGAAATATACCAGCCGATAGAGGCAAAGCTCAGTTGTCCAGCTTAGTATGAACGAGGATTCTGGGAGGGATCCTCAGCCCTATTAATGACAATAATAAACACATACTCACCAGGTGATATAGGTCTGCTTGAACTCGGAGAAGGTGTATAAGGGATTGGGCTGGACACAGTACGAGGTCTTAATCCTTGTGCAGACATCTCATTAAAATATCTAAAAAGAGAGAGGAATGCTGAGGATCACTTGCACTCAATAGTTAAGAGAGCTCTTGGGTGTTGTTTAATAAAAAAATGTACTCTTTACCTGACTTGTGGAACTCCAGCCCTCTGTACATCGTTTTTATAATACCAACAAAAATATTTTTTAACTGTATTTTTTTTGTCTTTTCTTTTTTGGTACTGGGGATTGAACCCAGGACGTTGCGCTTGCTAAGCAAGCACTTTGCCACTGAGCTACATCCCAGCCCCAAAAATATTTTTTAAAGAGAGCTTTCGGTCTATATATTATGAAGCAGTTACTATATAATGTATATTGCATGCCACAAAATTTCTACATCTATGCTAGCCTCCCATCAAATATTGATCATTTGAGGCATACTTTATAAGTTTAGGAAATGATTAAAGAGACAAGTCCCTTAGGTATTATGGATTTAGGACAAATCTGGGGAGAGGAACTTATTGCTAGAGATATTTATATGAAAAGTTCTGCTGTTAGATTTCTGATATTATGCTGTTTAATTTTTCAATAAAATCATTGTGTGTATGTGTATGAGAGAGAGAGAGGGAGGGAGGGAGGGAGGGAAGGAGGGAGGGAGGGAGGGAGCACAAGAATGCTCTTCTGGGGAAATTCCTGCTTCAGAGACTTCCTGAAAACCGTCCTTATCACACCTTGTAGTCAAACATGTGTACACCAATACTTGAGGGAAGATCTCAGCCCTGATATTTAGTCAGACACCTGATACTAATAATGGCCATTTCTAGGCAAATGTATGGTACCTGAACAAAATCCCAATCCATAATGTGAGATGCATCTCAACTAAATAGCCACTTGTTATTTGGCCTACTGTCTTCTTTAAACACCAGGCAGGACCTTTCTATTCCATATCTAGGTGGGTAGCTAAGGCCACCTCTTATAGTCTTAAATATCAGATTGTTTTCTTTCTCTGTGGTACCCTAGCAGGCAGAAAAATCGTTGTTGGAGTCCTACCCTGTCTGGAATAATATGACCTATAAAAGAAAAGCAAGTAAATCTTCTGGATGAATACTAGTCCTGGGGGTTGGGGGAGGAGAGAGTATGATTATCTGAAAGTCTGAAGTAGCTTCAGTAATTGTCACCAAAATAAGAAGAAACTGTCTGAGTACATCTTATCCCAAACTGGGGACCAGATGCTACAAATGTTAACATGGGGTCTGCTGAGTCATAATGTAGTTAATAAAGTAGTTAAAATAAGCTCCTTAGTATTCTAGTGAACATTTTTAGTCAAATCACTCGCAAAGACTTTAGAATGGGAAACTGTCAGAAACAAATCAATAAAACTTAGAAGGATGACAATCTTCTAATACAAGCTTCTGAGGAGGAAACACATAGAGACAGTAAGAAGGCTAACCTATCACTTGCTTTTGTTAATTTTTTTCTTCTTCTCATGTATAGCCTTCTATCACAGAAACTTTCTTGGCTCTGTCCACACCGAACTCTCTAAAAGCTTTGCCAGCACCTTGGATGAATCAGACAATAGAAAACTGAGTGCTGATGCATTCATTCTGCCTCATTTCAGACATGTTTTGGCATCCCCGGGCAGTGCAGCTCCTTAGCAGTCCCTGGTCAGTGACACTGGCTACTCAGTCCTCAGAGAGGGTCCCCAAGGAGGCTCAAGGTCACCTCTCACACTGAGATGTGGATCACAAGAGGTGGGATCCAGGAGGAGAAATTTCCTTGATTGAAATGTGATTCAAAGAATTGATTCCCTAACTGCAGGTTTTTCTTCTCTCTGGATTTAATGGTTATCTAGCCATCCTACTCGCAAGCGCATTGGAGAGGGAGAAATGTTGAAATCAGTTTCTCTAGTCTTCCTCTAACCAATGGAAGACTCATTTCAGCCATTCACAGTGGGGAATGAGAAGGCCCGATGCTGAGGTTCAGATTAATGTAATTAGTTTTATTTTTTAAAAGGTAGTTGCAAAAAGGCTCAGAAGTTAGCACACGTGTTAAGGCAAGTCTCCGGGATTTCAATGACCTTTCCTTGTCTCCTGCTGGTTCTTTTAGTTTATTAATGTTTCTTTCCTCCAGCTTCATTATAGCTTGCTTATGCTTATAACAGAACGCTCCTATGCTTTAAAAAGATTTAACACAGGATCTGGTTACTTCATTAATTGCAAACTCATGCTGGATAGAGTAGCTCACACCTATAATCCTAGTAACTCAGAAGGTAGACATCAGGAGGATCTCAGCTCAAGACCAGCTTGGGGAAAAATAAAATCAGCCAACCCTCATCTAATCCCCTCTCCCCCACCTCCACAAATAAGACAGGTAAGGTGGGAGACACCTGTAACCCTCGCTATGTGGAAGCCATAGGTAGGAGGATCATAGACCAAGACTGGCCCTGGGCAAAAATATAAAACTCTTATCTGAAAAAAATAAAGCCAAATAAAGCCAACTGGTCTGGGGACACAGCTGAGCTAAAATCTAGCAGTGATTTTATTTTATTTTATTTTTTTATTGTAAAGATACTATACAGAGGGTTACAGTTACATGAGTGAGGTAATGAGTATACTTCTTATTGAGCATTGTTACCCCCTCCATTGTTTTCCCCCTACCATCCTCTCCCTCCCTACCTTCCCCGAGGTTCTTTTTTTTTTTTT